TGTGCTATGACAGCTTGGTCTGGTGGATGTGGGTGGAAGATGTTTTCCCATATGTCTTTGAAAATACGTACTGCTTCAGCAGGGTCAGAGATCTGTCTGTTGTTGCTGTTTATGTGTCTAAAGGTTGTGGATCGAGGGGTGCCTGTAAGTTTCCGAATGGTTGACCAGAATGCTTTGGGATCTCTTGTACGCTGTACATCTGTAGTGTTTATAACTGATTGCCAATGTCGGGCGTGGTCATCGTCTAGGCTATGGATAATATGGTACGTAAAATAGTGAGGTCCCATCGGATGATATTGAGTCTGTTTTGGTTTGCTAGGAAACGGTGTCTGTAACATGTGAGTAATCTTTTTGTTCTTTCTGATGGGCGAAAAGAGTAACGTACTTTGTGGTGTGTCATTGGGACAACTTCTGTAGCAGTTTGGGTAATTGATTGTTGAATGCGTTGAATTTGTGTGTCTATGTCTGATACTGGTCTATTGTCATAGTTGTGTGTGAGATCAAGAGTGTTTAGGCGTTGTTTGAACAGATCCCAGTCCGCCTGAGAATAAGCACTAACCAGAAGTGGAGCAGGACGGCTATATATAGGCAGGAAGAGGTGGTGGTAGTAGTAGTAGTAGTACAAGAATGGTATATAATACCGACAAGATGAAATTAAGACACATGCGCAACACCCGGGCATCTCTATCGTAGAGGTTTCGCCATCCAGCCAGCCACTGGATGGCGAAACGTTCACAACAAAGTCACCCAGATGCCGCACATGTGTCTGGGTGTCTTTGTTGTGGACGTTTCGCCATCCAGTGGCTGGCTGGATGGCAAAACGTCTACGATAGAGATGCCCGTGTTGCGCATGTCTTAATTTCATCTTGTCGGTATTATATACCATTCTTGTACTACTACTACTACTACCACCACCTCTTCCTGCCTATATATAGCCGTCCTGCTCCACTTCTGGCTAGTGTGACTTTGTAAATGGTCCAAGTCGGACCGAAACGTCGTCGTAAGCTTCTCTCTTTTATGTGCGGGTTATTTGTGTAACCTTCCTCCATAGCCGCCTCAGCCCTATCCTTCTTCACTCAAACGGCAAGGATTCTTGTTTGGCCTTACTCCTTCCTCCAACGCCCCCATACCATTCCTTTGATGTAAGATCACTAGTACCTGTTCCCTCCGTCCAGCTTTTTTATAGCATTGGGCTGCCATATGTTCAAAAGATCCACATAATCTGCAAGTCTTCCGCTGCCCTGAGTAGTAAATGTAGACCTGCGTCCGGAAGACCTCCAGAAGAACGTATGATGGAACTGGCTGCCTCAACGTCATTTTCAGAGTAAATGACCATTTTGCCACACTCCCATCTCAGCTGAGTGGATTTTTCCATAGCTGCTAAACACCGCCATCACATCATGCTGTCGCCTCAAAAGGCACGTTTCGTACTTTCACCCACGTCACATAGCTGGACACATCATGTAAGCAGACTTCCACCATAGTGTTTACTGCTAGCCTTTTCTCTTCATATTTGTTGACTATGCTCGCGTAGAATCCTGCGTCTTTAAACTTTACTGCTACTCCATATAATTCTTCGTTCGGTATTCCATATACCTCACTGATGATGGCAGGCAGTAACACCTGCAATTGTTGTTCCTGTAAGCGTGCCACGCACCAATTCCACACAAACAGTGCTCACCCGGCGTCCAATGCGATCCGCCATGTTGTAAGCACAAAACAGGAAAACTGCGCAGTAAACCAGTTGATTCAGGAGCTACTGCGCAGCAAGCACGGCCCGAGAGCGATGAGGACAATCACTCTCAGAACTAGTGTGTGTGAACATGGACCACTGCCATACAATACCACTCACTAAACCGGATAAACCTTTCTTTCAACTATAAAATTACACTCTGGGCCTAAACTTCATCAACTGAGTGCAAACGACTTTAAAATTATGGCAAAACAACAAACTATAACAATAATATATCAGCAGTTGGGATGTTTACTAAGAAATGTATTCGTATCCTGTTTAAGTGGTTATAACAAACAATAATTTTTAAAGGGGTGGAGGGGTAAGCCAGCGGAAGGCCTCGTTCAGATGACCAAAAGCTCCAACGGCTGGTTATCATGTGACTAAGACCCGCGTCAGGAAACACTTGTCATGTTTCCTGACGAACCTTACCTAACCTAACCCATCTCCTGTGTAGGTTTTTATTAATGGCAAATTTCTCAGAGTTGTACTAGGCTTTGTATTAAGGGACGAAGCATTATTAAACCTTAAATGGAAAACAAGGAAAAATTCGTGTGGGTCAGTCAGCTCAAGAAGGATTGGACGCTCGGTCCCCCATTGCTAATCACGTGACAGCAGCCCATCTTAACCACAGACATCCTGCCACTGGGTGTATTTATCCTCCGACACAAAAAAAATACTGACATCTGGTTTATGACTGGTGAAGGAGTTTCCAGTTTCTTGTTTACATCAGTGGCCACCCACCAACTCTTCCTATAGTTGTTGTTGTTGTTTGTGTGTGTGTGTGTGTGTGTGTGTGTGTGTGTGTGTGTGTGTGTGTGTGTGTGTGTGTGTGTGTGTGTGTGTGTGTGTGTGTGTGTGTGTGTGTGTCAGTCTGTATTTCTGTCTGTATGTCTGTCTGTGTCTATGTGCGTTTCTCGCACAGAGAGAGAGAGAGAGAGAGAGAGAGAGAGAGCAAGCTCTACTGTTCCCGTGTCTATTTAAGGATAATCGTTGTTTTTTCCTTAATGCTCCTTAATTAAAACAGTTGCATCATACGAATTATTAAACCATTATCTTAGAGCACTTTTATCAACCATTATGATGAACCATTAATTCAGAAATATCACCAGACATCAGACAGCATTTAATGACTCACTGTGATAGTGATAATTGTTTTAATTCCTACTAGTCAGCTTGTATAAGGAAGAAGAAAGAGCAGATTGTGCCAGTGACGTGGATAAATTTTAAGGGTGAACTTGTCTTAAGATTTTACCTTCAAAACATTAGTTACGTACATGTGTGTTGCACTATATGCGGAGAGTGTTTCGGGGTGTTTATAAACCTAACTTATACTTGAAACAATTTTATTACTATAATTAATATTAGTAGTATTACTATTACAACTTCCTTCTTCCTCTTCCCAACTTGTTTCTTGGTCTTTGTTCTTTCTAGCTCATTTGTAACTTGACTGTGGTCCAGGACCGAAAAACTTCGTCACTTAGTCTCTACTCTTATGTCTGGGATATTTGTGAATTATTCCAGCCACAATACAGTGACTTTAAATTCTTAATTTCTTGTATATTTTCATATTGCCACATACTATGTGAATGTTGCTTATTAGCCTCAGTGATAAAGGTGCAGGTTGGTGCTATGGTGTAGTGTGAAATGGTGACGTGTGTGGCGAGGTGGTATACCTGGAGGGGGTTTCAGAAGATCAACGCCTATGCGGGGTGGACCATGACCAGGCCTCGTGGTGGATCAGGGCCTGATCAGCTAGGCTGTTACTGCTGGCAGCACGTAAACCGACGTAAGAGCCACAGCCTGGGCAGTCAGGTATTGACTTTAGGTGCCTGTCCAGCGCCTTCTTAAAGACAGCCAAGTGTCTAATGGTAATCCCTCTTATGTATGCTGGGAGGCAGTTGAACAGTCTTGGGCCCCCCTGACACTTATTGTATTGACTCGTAGCGACATGTGACGCTGTGTTGTTTGCTTTGGTGTTGGGTGGCGTTAAGGGGTCCTGTGTTGTGGTGTGACATTGTAGTGCATTGTGGTGTTGCAGTGTGGTGTGGTGTGGTGCTGTAGAGTGTTGTGTTGTGTGAGGTGGTATGGTGTTGTAGTACGATGTGGTGTGCTGTGGGGTGGTCTGTTGTAGTGTGGTGTTGTGTAGGGTGGTATGTTGTGAGGTGTTGTATGGGGTGGTGTGTTGTGGGGTGTTGTATGGGGTGGTGTGTTGTGGGGTGTTGTATGGGGTGGTGTGCTGTGGGGTGTTGTATGGGGTGGTGTGCTGTGGGGTGTTGTATGGGGTGGTGTGTTGTGGGGTGTTGTATGGGGTGGTGTGTTGTGGGGTGTTGTATGGGGTGGTGTGCTGTGGGGTGTTGTATGGGGTGGTGTGCTGTGGGGTGTTGTATGGGGTGGTGTGTTATGGGGGTATGGTGTGGGGTGCCGGGTGTTGGTATGATGTGAAAATGGCAAAGTGGCACTTAAACACTTGAATAGCGATCCCATCCTTCTAGGATACACAAGTACTGAAACTGAAGCCGATCAGAGAGGCTTTCTCAAGTCATGGCAAAGAAACCAAAACTAGGAACAGTCTTTGTAGCATAAGCAGAGGCATCTGCACATGCCAATAGTTGCATAAACCGTTTCCTAGCTACAGTACTCCAGCGTCAAAAATTTGAAGACAATCGGATGAGGCATTCCCAAGTTATTAACGAAATACCTAGTGAATTCTTGCTATATTATCTGCCTATTCTTTTTCCAGATTACAAATAGCTGGTGCAGTTTTCACATCCATATTTCTCGAGTCAAAGTTGCATCAGTTCATGCTTGACACTTAATTACTCACTTTTCACAGCAGATTAATACTGTTGTTAAAAGGTTTTGTCTTGATTTAAGATTGTAGGTAATGTAGCCAACATAGATTTTAAGCGTATAGCTAGCTCTGAGTGGGCTAATACAGCTGGTTAATTGGATTGCAAGACTATCGATTACACGAGGATATTTTTAACATAGGGATTAAAATTAGCTTACAGAGGATACACATTGAGACATACAACTCTCGGTGTATCTTGCCTTTCCAGTGTATCTAAATTTCATCATGGTTATGCACTTTTATACAGATTAAAACTCCTCTCTTTCCCGTACTTATGTGTACTCTAATATGAAATAAGGACGAATTATTCGATATATACATAAGTACTTAAGTGATTTGTAGATTATTATTCTATTTGTTGATTAATTTTTTTCTTTTATATCGACTTTCAGTTTTTTGTCAGAGAAGGAAAATACTTGTTACTTCTAATATTTGAGAACGATGCTCGCTCGAAGAACCTGGATCGCTGCTGTTCAAAGACTAGCAGTTTTATTTCTGATTCCTTTCCTTTATATAAATTTTCGGGAACATTTTGGTACTAAGCAGGCGGATGTGGGCGTGGGTATAAGCATCAACACTTGGATAAATCATCTTTGTCCAAAGTATTCCCTAATTAACACCGTCAACAAAACTCTCAACTGGCGGCCGCTCACCCCAAACACCATTTTCTTTACTGAAACTTCCTGTGCCCTCAAGTTCTCTCCAAGGAAGGTAAGTACTGGGCAAATAAGTTAAGTGATGAGTTAATTAATCAATCTACCTGGCAAGTTATTCTACCTGCAGGAGTAATTAGATAACTCGCTTAGCTGATTAGTTTATTTAACTAGTTCACTGGTAAGTTAAAAAAAATGCAGTGATGTTAGTGGTAAGGGAGAATACGGATCCATATATGCACACACTGATGATCTACACTTCCTGCACTACACTGCCACATGATAGTAGTTCCTCTTTGTTCCATACTAGTTGTCAGGTGACCATATATATAAAGATAATGAAGCAGGATGTCCTTCTGTAAATGACGTCTTTATAGGTCACTAATCGTTAAGCCCAAGAAAGAATAGGAAGAAAGATGGTGGAGAAAAGAATGACTGGTGTCAGCCAGAGTCAAACAGAGACTCTTCCCATAGCAAATGATGCAGATAAAAATGAAAGAAATTTGTCGAAGTCATGTAAAGATAAGGGGACATGAAGGGAAAAATATAAGGAACAGGCGATGTTTTATTTGCGTTACAGTGTAGTGGATTTTGAAGATAAATTCTAGCGTACTATTATTGCAATAATATCTGTGTAGAAAATACTGTATATTTTCCAAAAATACAGTGTATTTTGTATGTAAATTGATGGAATATATTGTAGGTAATAAAAATTAATTTGTAAATAAATGAAGAACCAGCAAAATGGGTGAGCGTCGCTGGGGAAGAGTCGCCATTGTTTTGAACTGGGCTGAAGGCACGCGAGTGAAATGTGCATAAATTTCGTCGCTCTGGAGGTTAAATTGTGGTTGAAACCTCCCAAATAGGAGCAGAAATTGTTGGATTTGCAGTCCTGCATAACGTGAGCATTAGACGAGTGGACAGGACAGTCCAGGAACCCCAACTAAGTCGATGTCTATTTATGTTGAAAATTCTGGCCAGTATTTTCTTCATAACTTAGGCAGGGGGTTTATATATGATACACCAAGTAATCTACAAACAAATTGGTGAGTCTTATTATTATAAATTCTCCTTCAATGTATATGTATCCATTTTTTAAATTTAATATACAGTCCACATATTTATATTAATGTTTTACCAGAATTCCAGGTGATGTATATTTCATTTGAAATTAATATAGGTCCAGAGTGACTTGTGGAGAGATAGATTATAGTAGGTATCGAAGGGGGACATTTTTTGCCACCTAGGTGTCCTAAAATTCCTACTTGTCTCTGTAACCTTGATAAAGAATAATTATCTTTATTACCATTTACTGGTATGTATCTTATGAGTTACATCCAGGTAAATTTAATTTTCCACAATCTGTGTTTCTTTTTTGCAGTTAGCCTCAATTAGACATTTTTATTTTTTGTATTCCGGGTATTTATACAGTAAATATTTAGAACATTTTTTGCCTCGTCTTCATCTATTGTTAATAAACCATTAATTTTGTTATTAGTGACTGTCTTATGACCTATCTTGTTTTCCTTAACATTTTACTACAATAATGTGCTACTTTTATTTTTTTCCTCTTCTTGGTACTGTAACTCCTTTTATTCCCACAAACACCCATACTTCTCTCTACATTCCAACAGTTTAAAGCGCTAGTTCAGTCCATCTATGGCCATCTGGACTCAACTATGGTAGTCTAAATATTAATCGGGACACTGATGAAATAGTTTGGAAAATTGCTTATTTGAAAATACATGGAAAATTAATGCTATTTGAAAATATTTTGAAAATTAATGCTTATTTGAAAATTGATTTAATAAGAGATATGACTACCCTTTGCTTTTATAAGCACTGCAACACGCTTTAGTATAGAATCGACCAATGTTGAACACATTTTGGCAAGTTCTTCCTCGCGGTGCCAGGTCCTAAAAACAGCAGCAATTAGCTCCTACACGGTTGAACAGTCATGTTTCGCGATCCTGCGTTTGGTTATTGCCCACAGATTCTTAATTGTGCTGAAGTCAGGAGAGTTCCTAGGCCAAGCTAGAATACTTAGCTCGATCGCAAGCGGACTCAGCTCACACACTGAGGTCCGGAGTTAGAATCTCCGGTACGGTTGGAAAACATTAGGACGTGTTTCCTTAAGACACCTCCTGTCCATGTTCACCCATCAGTATAAAATGGGTACCTGGGTGTTAGTGGACTGGTGTGGGTCGCATCCTGAGACAAAACTGACCTAATTTGCCCGAAATGCTCAAAATAACAAGCGGCTTTCTATATAGTAGTATGTCACTGATGTCAGCTAGGCCTGTATACCTTGTACATGTACTTGCAGAAATAAAGATATTATTATATTATTATTATACTTAGCCCAATCTCTTCGAAGAATGTCAGCACTTTCTGCTGGCGTGGAGAAAGATCCTGCTGGGAAATGCCTTCTCCATCAGCAAAGTCTCTATCCACAATGGGAAGCAAATGAGCTGCCAGGATTGCCTTATAGTTGTCGCTGGTCATCGTTTCCTCAACAATAACACGGGGTCCAGGGCCTTTAGCAGTAAAACTACCCCAAAACATCTTAAATGGATGTTTTAGAGCTTCTTGAATATGTTCATCTCGAAGAGGTTCGCCTCTGCTGTCTCACTACCACTGATCTGTACCCATATACGTCAAAATACATCTCATCTGAAAATATAACTTTTCTTCATTCATGTGTCGTTCATCTCTGACAAACGAGTGTCCATCGCAGCCGTATTTTCTTCATAGTAACAGTCAATCATTTTTTCTACCTGGTTTTTCTGGCAGTTCTGCCAACTTCAAGGAGTCTTCATCGAACAGTTGAAGAATCAACATTTATAACAGGTGAAGTCAAATCTCTCTGTAGATCTTTGCTGGTTTTCTTGGGAATTGGGATCCTTCACACTATTTCTTATGATAATCTTATCATCGCACGGTGTCTTGCGTTTTCTTTGACATCTTCCTCGACAGTTATACATAACTGCATCATGTATAACTGCCTAGTTTTTTTTTATCTTTCTCTTTGGATACATATTTCGTATGTTATTAAACATATTCTAAGAATAAAGTAAATCGATTATGAAAGACCATCTTTTCTAATTTAGTAATTAAAGTTATTACATTCACCAGTCACTAATAAAAATAATTTGATTACCGTTTTCATTGATTAGTCGGTTTATTATTGTAACCTGCGAGTGGTTTGAATATTAATGAAAAATGTTGCATGACAAAATTGACAACTAGGCTATGAAAAGTGGAAGTTTCTCCTTTCTTAACATCAGTTACCATCCGCAGGCGTGTGCCGTCGAGAGCGCCGCCCATCACCATCCACATCGACCTGTCCTGTTGTTGGTGACCGCCCCTGCCATACTTCATCCACAACCACTACTTCAGGTAAATGTGTGTGTGTGTATACATATATATATATATATATATATATATATATATATATATATAATATATATATATATATATATATATATGTGTGTGTGTGTGTGTGTATGTGTGTGTGTGTGTGTGTGTGTGTGTGTGTATAAAAATCATCATCTCTTCATCTTCTACCTTGCTTTTTCTTAATACAACGGTCTTAATGTAACAACTAAAATGCCGGGAGCAAGGGGCTAGTAACCCCTTCTGTATTAATTACTAAATGCATAAAGAAAAAAAACTTTATAAAGTTGGGATGTTTAAATGTGTGTGGATGCAGTGCAGATAAGAAAGAGATAACTGTACATGTTATGAATGAAAAGAAGCTGGATGTCCTAGTTCTCAGTGAAAGTTGAATGGGGTTGGAGAGTTTCAGTGGGAAGAAATATATGGGATTAGTTCAGGTGTATCTGAGAGAGTTAGAGCTAAGGAAGTAATAGCGGTAATGTTCAAGGATCGGTTATGGAAGGAAAAGGGGAAATATAAATGTACAAATTTAAAGATTTTTGTGTTGTAAAATAAGGGTCGGATGCGAAAATTAGGTTACACTAAGTGTTTATGCACCTGAAGACGAGAGGAGTGTACAGGAGAGAAAGATTTTTTTTTAAAGATATTAAGCGAATGTTTAGGGAGTTTTGAACCAAGTGAAAGAGTAACTGTGGTGGGAGATCTAAATACTAGAGGGGTAGAAACTGTTGTAGAATGTGTAGTAGGTAAGCTTGGGGTGCCAGTGATAAATGATAATAGGGTACCTTTGACTGAACTTTGTATAAGAGGTTTGGTAATAAGTACTACATATTTCATGAACAAAAAAGAATAAATAAGTACAAGAGATATGATACTGGATGTAATGACAATAGTTTATTGAATTATATATTGGTGGCTAAAAGGTTGATGGGTAGACCTCTGGATGTGTGTTTTCAGAGCAATAGATATATCAGAACATTATTAAGTTATGGCTACAGTAGGAGTGAGAGATAGAAGGAGTACAAGGGAAATGGCATCAGCAAGTAAGAGAGGGGTGAAAGTTTATAAACTAAAAGAGGTAGTTGTGGCAAGATACAAGGAACTGTTGGGAGAAAGATGGGCTAGTAAGGGTATAGGTAATGAGGGCGTTGAAGATTTAATTAAGAATGCAGTGTTAGAGTGTGCAGCAAAAGTATGTGGATATAGAAGGGTGGGTGCAGAAGGAAAGAGGAGCGATTGGTGGAATAATTAAGTAAAGAGTGGTGAGAGTGAAAAAGTTAGCACATGGAAGGTTTTTACTAAGCATAAGTGATATCAGTGGAGAATAAAAGAGAAGTTAAGGGAGTGCAGAGGGAGAGCAACTGAGTGGGTGAGGATCTTCTGTCAACAAATTTTGCTGAGAATAAGAAAACATTCTGGATTGAGAATAAAAAGTGGAGAAAGCCTAGAGAACAAATGGATCTGATAGTTAAAAACAGAATGTGGAAGTTATTAGATGGAGTGCCGGAAGTATATGGAAGATGGCGGGAATATTTTGAGCTGTTATATGTTGAAGAAAGAGAGGCAGTGATTTCATGCATTGACCAGGGCGGCGCAACATCTCTAAAGAAGAGCCAGACCTCTGTACCCTGCCCCCACAAACAACACCTCCAGACCTCTATACCCTGCCCCCACAAACAACACCTCCAGACCTCTATATCCTGCCCCCACAAACAACACCTCCAGACCTCTATACCCTGCCCCCACAAACAACACCTCCAGACCTCTATATCCTGCCCCCACAAACAACACCTCCAGACCTCTATACCCTGCCCCCACAAACAACACCTCCAGACCTGGAAATAAATGGTATAAAATACCGACACAATGGAAATATAAACACAAATGCAGTATAATGTGATCCTTTATTGACTACGTTTCGCCCACACAGTGGGCTTTTTCAAGTCACAAACAGAACTACCTGGGGTGGAAGGAACGCGAGTATTTATAGTCCGGTTCAGAATGCTGAGGTCAGGTGAAGGATCACATTATACTGCATTTGTGTTTATATTTCCACCTCCAGACCTCTTTACCCTGCCCCCACAAACAACACCTCCAGACCTCTTTACCCTGCCCCACAAACAACACCTCCAGACCTCTTTACCCTGCCCCCACAAACAACACCTCCAGACCTCTTTACCCTGCCCCCACAAACAACACCTCCAGACCTCTTTACCCTGCCCCCACAAACAACACCTCCAGACCTCTTTACCCTGCCCCCACAAACAACACCTCCAGACTCTTTACCCTGCCCCCACAAACAACACCTCCAGACCTCTTTACCCTGCCCCCACAAACAACACCTCCAGACCTCTTTACCCTGCCCCCACAAACAACACCTCCAGACCTCTTTACCCTGCCCCCACAAACAACACCTCCAGACCTCTTTACCCTGCCCCCACAAACAACACCTCCAGACCTCTTTACCCTGCCCCCACAAACAACACCTCCAGACCTCTTTACCCTGCCCCCACAAACAACACCTCCAGACCTCTTTACCCTGCCCCCACAAACAACACCTCCAGACTCTTTACCCTGCCCCCACAAACAACACCTCCAGACCTCTTTACCCTGCCCCCACAAACAACACCTCCAGACCTCTTTACCCTGCCCCCACAAACAACACCTCCAGACCTCTTTACCCTGCCCCCACAAACAACACCTCCAGACCTCTTTACCCTGCCCCCACAAACAACACCTCCAGACCTCTTTACCCTGCCCCCACAAACAACACCTCCAGACCTCTTTACCCTGCCCCCACAAACAACACCTCCAGACCTCTTTACCCTGCCCCCACAAACAACACCTCCAGACCCTTTACCCTGCCCCCACAAACAACACCTCCAGACCTCTATACCCTGCCCCCAAAACAACACCTCCAGACCTCTTTACCCTGCCCCCACAAACAACACCTCCAGACCTCTTTACCCTGCCCCCACAAACAACACCTCCAGACCTCTTTACCCTGCCCCCACAAACAACACCTCCAGACCTCTTTACCCTGCCCCCACAAACAACACCTCCAGACCTCTTTACCCTGCCCCCACAAACAACACCTCCAGACCTCTTTACCCTGCCCCCACAAACAACACCTCCAGACCTCTTTACCCTGCCCCCACAAACAACACCTCCAGACCTCTTTACCCTGCCCCCACAAACAACACCTCCAGACCTCTTTACCCTGCCCCCACAAACAACACCTCCAGACCTCTTTACCCTGCCCCCACAAACAACACCTCCAGACCTCTTTACCCTGCCCCCACAAACAACACCTCCAGACCTCTTTACCCTGCCCCCACAAACAACACCTCCAGACCTCTTTACCCTGCCCCCACAAACAACACCTCCAGACCTCTTTACCCTGCCCCCACAAACAACACCTCCAGACCTCTTTACCCTGCCCCCACAAACAACACCTCCAGACCTCTTTACCCTGCCCCCACAAACAACACCTCCAGACCTCTTTACCCTGCCCCCACAAACAACACCTCCAGACCTCTTTACCCTGCCCCCACAAACAACACCTCCAGACCTCTTTACCCTGCCCCCACAAACAACACCTCCAGACCTCTTTACCCTGCCCCCACAAACAACACCTCCAGACCTCTTTACCCTGCCCCCACAAACAACACCTCCAGACCTCTATACCCTGCCCCCACAAACAACACCTCCAGACCTCTTTACCCTGCCCCCACAAACAACACCTCCAGACATATCCCTTCCTTCTTTAGAGCAAACTTAGACTCTTTTAAACAGCACTTAAACAACACTAACTTCTCACATAACTTCGATAACAGACCTACATCAGACATCGACACACAGATTGCTCTCATACAAGACTCTATAACACAAGCTGCTGAAAATGCAATTTCTAAGAAACAATACACTGTCAGATACTCCTTCCGTCCTTCTGAAAGGACAAAACGCCTTCTCCTCTAGTACCGTCACCGCTTTGCTACCAACCACCACAAATTTGCACATGTCAGCAGAGACCTCACTTTCTTGAGAAACAACATCATCCGTAGCTTGGACGAGGACCATGCCAAACACTGGCTGTCCCTCATCCAGGCTGCTGACTCACACCGCATACGGAACCCCAGGGAATACTGGGATTTCATCCAGAAGGTCACTGGAGTCCCAAAAACAACACACTTCCAACACATAACACACAACACAAACATCACAGACCCAACACAAGCAGCACATGCTTTCAGAGACATATGGGAAAATATTTTCCACCCTCACCCTCCTGACCCAGCTGCACAACACCACACACAAGATGTAGAACACTGGATATCCACACATAGACACATCACCTCTCCTGACCCTATCATACAACTATCCTCTCTCACCTCCACCCACATTCTCAACACTTCTTTCAACCTCTTGTTAAATCCTTAATCTTGAAGCTTCTTCCCAAAGCTCTTGGAGCTTCTGGACTATCTCACCACATTCTCCGCCACCTCCCTGACACTGTCATATCCGCTCTTACTGACCTTTACAATGCTTGCCTTGCTTCTGGCTACTTCCCTTCCATATTCAAATCCGCTATTGCCACATTCATCCCCAAACCTAACACGGACCCAACTGACCCGAGGAACTATAGACCTATCAGTCTACTAGAAACCCTCGGAAAGACTTTTGAACGAATCATTACCCAAAGACTAAGGACTCACTTAGAGACTAACCACTTCCTGACTGACCAACAATTTGGCTTCCGCCAACACCGCTCGACGCAAGCAGATCTTAATATCATTCTGAACTATATTCTAATCAATAAGGCCCAAGGATGTACAACGGCCCTGGTTGGTAAGGACGTGGAGAGAGCCTTCGACACGGTCTGGCATTCGGGGCTCAAGTACAAGCAATGTAATCTTTCGATCTTTCCCCGAATGTCAAAAAATTGCTATGCAACTTCACTGACGGCCGTACGATGCGAATTAAGTTCAGAAACTGTCTCTCTGACTCCTTCACCCTTCATGCTGGAGTTCCCCAAGGCTCTGTGCTCTCTCCTACCCTGTACATCCTTCACACAAACGACATTCCTGACCCAGCACATCACAACACATTCACACTAGCATATGCTGACGACATCACAGAACTCACCGCACATGAACAATGCAGATGTCTGTCACTCAGAACACAACGCGAGGTGGACAGGATAAGTGCCTGGGAGATTCTTTGGCTTATTAAAACGAATGCCAATAAATCTAAGATTACATGCTTCTTCCCAAAAGAACACCCACCACTACCTGTTGACCTCAGAACCACCACTACAAGAACACCCATTCCACGAACACGCAACATCACAGTCCTAGGAGTTAATTTGGATTCCAGCCTTAGACTACACACTCACATTAACGTCAAAAGAGCTATGGGCAGTTCTGCCCTACGGCGACTGTACAAGCTCAGAGGCTAACACCTTCACACTAAACTACACCTGTACAAGGCCCTCATACGGGCCACTAATCACTTATTCACCTCTTGCTCTTTCTCTCGCTGCCAAAACAAACGTCCTGAAGCTGCAGCGAATTCAGAACCGTGCATTGCGGTGGGTGCTGGGCGTGGCGTGGGATGACTTTGCCACAAGCGAATCTGTCTACGCTATGATTGGTACCCCGGCGCTGAACGTGTTCTGGAAAGAACTCAGTGACAGACAGGCAGACCGACTAGAAACCCACAAAGACACTTGGACAACCTTCCTTGACCTGTCCTGTCAGACACTGCAAGTTCTTGGGATCTTAATACTTGGGAATTCTTCGCTTGCCTAACCCTTGGGCACGACCTACTTCCACATTGGACAAATGTGACACCACCTACGACTGCTGCACCTCTCCTGCCTACGGTTTATAAGCTGTTTCTCCGCATATATGCCGTATTCTATTCAAGATTGATGGACTGACTACATCGACTCAAGGTTGAGGAACTGATTACCTCATTCTCCTCCTGTTCTTCAAGATTCTCCTTTGTATGGACTGATGAAGCCACTGTGTGGCGAAACGTTTCGTCAATAAAGATACCCAAGAGTTGCACATGTGTCTAATTGGGGAATATGTCTGTTGAGTATACTAAGTAAAGTGTATGGTAGAATACGTGTAATTATTGCAAGAAATAAGGGTAAGACGGAGAGCAGGATCGCAGATGAGTCTAAGACGAAGTGAACCACAAAGAATTGATGGGAAAAAATAAGTGGTTCATTAAGGCATCAGTGGAGACAGAACGCCATACATGGAGGGAGAAAGATGAATGTATGAGTGTATGTGTGTGAAACATGGGTTGGGAATGTTGCAGCGAGTAGGAGATTGGAGGCAGTTCAGATGTCGTGTCTCAGGGTAATTTGTAGTGTGAATTTTATGCAGAGAATTCGTAGTTTTGAGATTAGGATTGGGTTACTATAACTATTATCCAGAGGGCTGAGGAGGGGCTGTTGAAGTGGTTTGGACAGTTACAGATAGACCAAACTCAGATGACTTGGAGGGCGTATAAATCTGTAGTGAAGGGAAGTCGGGGTAGGGATCGTCATAGGAAAGACTGAAGAAGTGAAGGTTTTGTACGTGAGGGGCTTGGATATCCAGCAAGCGTAAGTGTGGGCAGTGTTTCTTCATTTTCGGGTCACCCTGCCTCTGTGGAAGACAGCTGGTGTGTTAAAAAGTAACTGCCAGTGCCCTTTAAAGTTTTACAAGCTCTAGGTAATGGTTATTCCCCTTGTCTTTTTCTTTAACTGTTTTGAGTTTTCCTTACTATCCGCTCCTCATATAATACTGAAGTGATTACATCTCTGGAGCGTACGTGTACCAGGCTATAGTCTCTCAGTCTCTTTTAAAATCTCGTATAATTTTCGAAACTGGACAATTAAACCCAAACGATAAATATTTTGTTGACAGCCATGAACAATATGAAAAATGTTGCTTTTCAGTTAGTGGAGGACCTGGATAATGTGGAATTCTCTTACTTGGATCTGGACCAGGTCTTTAGTGAGCCTCCGCTGAAGTCATGGCATCATCAACGTCTATGGCTCTACAATGAAGGTAAAATTACAATAATTATATACATATATTATATTTATACAAACAATGTCTCTGCGACCACGGCAGGACTCGAATCTGCAAACTCTGTATCAGAGTCCACAGCACTTTACCACGGAGCCAGACCCCAGATAAGTATGGGAGCCTAGCCATAGCTAGACGATGTTTCTCCATATCCCTGGGCACCAGGCTTGTTTTCAAAGCTATTTCATCAAATCCTGCCACATGAAGTGACAACGAAAGAGATTTGAAATGCTTAACAATTCACAAACAGACGAAATTATTTACAAACATTGTCTCTACTTCCACAACAGGACCTTTCGTTGTCCACTGCATGTGACAGATTTAATGAAATAACTATATAATATATATATAATATATATATATATATATATATATATATATATATATATATAATATATATATATTATATTATATATATATATATATATATATATATATATATATATATATATATATATATATATATATAATATATGTCGTGCCGAATAGGCAGAACTTGCGATCTTGGCTTAAATAGCAAAGTTCATCTTGCCATATAGGACAAGTTAAAATTTGTGTACACAATAATTTCGCCAAAATCATTCTGAACCTAACGAAAAAAATATATTTCACTGTGTTTGTTTAGTATTAAATTACTGTAAACAAATCTAAAATATATTTAGTTGGGTTAGGCTAAAATAAATTGTTCTTGTTATAATAAGGTTAGGTAAGTTTTCTAAGTTCCTTTTGGTGCAAAATTAAAAATTTTTACATTAACATTAATGAAAAAAAATATATCTTTAAACGTATAAGAGAAAATTTCAGAAAGGACTTAATTTTAAATGAGTTCTTGCTAATTGACCAGTTTTACATATTCGGCACGATATATATATATATATATATATGTCGTGCCGAATATGTAAAACTGGTCAATTAGCAAGAACTCATTTCAAATTAAGTCCTTTGTGAAATTTTATCTTATACGTTTAAAGATATATTTTTTTCGTTAATGTTTAATGTAAAAAGTTTTAATTTGCACCAAAGAATCTTAGAAAACTTACCTAACCTTATTATAACAAGAGCAATTTATTTTAGCCTAACCCAACTAAATATATTTTAAATACGCTTACAATAATTTAGTACTAAACAAACACAATCAAATATATTTTTTTCATTACGTTCAGAATGATTTTTGCGAAATTATTCCATACACAAATTTTCACTTGTCCTATATGGCAAGATGAGCGTTGCTATTTAAGCCAAGATCGCAAATTCTGCCTATTCGGCACGACATATATATATATATATATATATATATATATAAAATATATATAATATATATATATATAATATATATATATATATGGGGCATTGTTTATGTATCCTAACACTGTTGCAGATCATGCACCTGTGTTTGTTAGCGACGCAGCCCGTGTGGAGCTCTTAAGACGATATGGCGGGACTTACCTTGACCTCGACATCTGGACCTTGCGACCTCTTCCTGACTTCCAACCTTATCTAGGGTGGCAAACTGCCGAATCCGTCAACAACGACGTCTTGAGCTTTTCCCCACGACACCACTTCATACAGGTGGGGTAATGTCAAATGTTCATGATACGTCAGGGGTCACGTTGCGCCTTAGTCATGTTGGGTCTGGGGTCAGGTTGTGTTAGAAACCATGCTATGTCAGAGACGATAAGTAAATTTTGTCCAGGATCATATTTCGTCATATATTTTGGGCCAGAGGTCATATACTTAACCTAAGAATTTTGTCTGGTTATGGGATATTCTAGACAGAGTCAGAGGACTGTTAAAGTTATGCCTAAATTAGAAGAACTTAGATAAGTCTAGGCTTAAGAAGCGTGCTGAGTTCAGGGACCATATTCGTTGGTGATCCATGATGGGATCACGTATCATGAAGGGTCAGGGTTTAGTCTAAGTCAGGGGCTATATTGGGTTAAGGGTTAATTTTAACCAGGTTCACACAAAAAGGTCAACTTACTGTTTCTCCATTTTTCTAGTCGATTTAGCCGAAGAATCTTATTTTTCCTTTTCTTTCTGTGACACAAATAAAATCTTGGACTCAATCTAAACTTGTGGTAACCCCCAGGAAATTGTGGATGCAATACCGAGTGTTTTCAATCCCCACACACGCAACACCATTGGTCCGACTCTCTTCACCACCCACCTGCGCCAACTGTGTCCTGAACAGCTTACCATCCCCAAGGACATCAACAGCACAGTGAAGGACACCTGCCACGGCATCACCATCTACCCACGACGAGCCTTCTCCCCCATCAGCCTAGGACCTTCTGAGTTATTGAGCGTCTTCTTACGTGGTCATGGACTAGGAACCAAGTTTTTGAAGGAGTCGACTGACTTCTACTTACTCCATTTGTATAACTACCTATCAGAAATGCTCTTAGTCAAATTGGGAGGAGACTCCATCCTAGAGGAAGTGGCTAAGAGGAACTGCCCAATATTATTATTATTATAATCAAGGGGGAAGAGCTAAACCCGTAGGATTATACAGCGCCCAGGGGGGGGGGATGTGGAAGGCATTCAGGCTTAATTCGGGGAACTGGAGCACAGATCCAATTCCCTAAATCAAGAGCCCCTCACCAACATCAAGGAACCTTCCATGAGGGGAACTGCCCAATAGTATATCGTTTTTTTTTTCTTGCCCATAACATGAAATTTTAAATTACTACTTAACCTAAACGAATAATGACATAACTAATGGACTCGCACACATTATACTACTTTTAAATGATAAAGCTGGTAAATTAGCCAAATTAAGTAAGTTGGTTGTAACTGTAGTATGACTTTCCAACATTAGATCAAATATTACGAGAGAATTAAATACTAATAAATGTGAACGTCACAGGAATACTTTTAGAAGCTTGAGTGGATCTATAGCTCATGATAACATAAACGTAGGTAAGTATGTTTACCGAGAAACTAGAAATTAAAACAACCTGACTGATGTTGTAGTAGCTAGGTTTAGAATCCTGGGAGTCTGGTATATACACACCTAAATGAAAAGTATAGTGTTAATATAATGATCACTCTCTTGAACACTATGTGCTTGATTATTCACTTACCGAAGAATGTAGACAATAAAATAACCTATTTGATATGTCAAGGTAAATTATTAATATAAAAATCTAGAAATTTTAGGTAAATGTCCTCAATTTGTTTTGTAACAGATGAAATACAAACTAAATATACTGTATATCTTGATGTATTTCTGTTAACTTTTTCGGGGTCTAGTACCTGGGCCTTTTGTGTATCCATACGCCTTGCGTAACCGTCTACAGGATGGACGGTTACGAAAGATTTAATTTTTTCCCCTAAGGTTATCCTTCATGACTCTTAAGGGTCACATAGTTTACGGGTCGTACAATGCCTGGGAGATGATCAAGTTAAAATTCACTGGAGTAACTGCCCTGCATCAGCATCCAGGCTTCATCCAGGAAGGTTTCTTCAGTTCGGTTCTTATTGCAATTAGGAAGAAATTTACTGGTAATGATAATATAATGCTAACAATTCTATGTTAAATATGTCAGATTAGCTCTCCTTCCTATGACCAAGGTGGGTACTCCTACTAAGTTTTGATGTTACTTATCATGTTTTTGTGTTTGTATCTTAATGTTTCGGTAAACTAAATGACATTAAATGTTGTAGAATACTTATAATTTCATTTACATTTATTTCTGAGTTTGACGTTTATAAAAATACTAAGAAATGTTATTCAGCATTGTCCTTAACACTCTTCATTTATAGAAAGATAAACAACACATGAACGTATGTGATATGTCATGAAATCTGAATAATAAAAATAAGATATCCTAGCTTATGATTAAAAATCACATATGTTTATATTACAACCCAGGAGTCCCAAAGGCCTGTTATCCTGGGTATAAAGGGAGCAAAATAAACAGCAGAAAAACTTTTGACTTGTATTATCCTTCATCAATTTAGAACAGAAGTATGTACACTATATACACTATGTACAGCAATAGGTATTAGTGCACTCCACGGTAAGCAAGGCAGAATAGAAGCCACTAGAGAGCAGACCGTGCTTCAACCAGCTCTAGAATGGGAATGACAAGGGCAGACAGGCGAGTGGTACCCACACCTCTTCGATTGCCAAAACCATCTTCTCATTGGCTGGAACCTGGGTGCTGACTGAACGATGGGGCCCCATCATCAACCCTTAGTACCTGGTTCGCTGCTTGGGGGAGATAGCCTTTCAATGAGGGTGTGTACATGCGGTGAATAAAGTTTACGTACTCTTTGCATGCCACAGTTTAACACAAAAGTAATTTGTAATTATTATTTTTTAACCTAGTCTAGATCTCAACCCTAACTAAGCCTGTGTGTATCTATGTATTTTCACGCTAACGTTCACATGCTGTACAAGAGTTGTGCAAATCTTTAATTTTCATGAGGTGGCTCACTAAATCGTAGTTAGTTTAATATGTTTATTATGCACCCCATACCCATCCTGTGGGCGGTAGTCAAAAGATTACAAAGGTACATAATTGGTCCAGGGACTGGACTCCAAAGTTTTGATAGCTGAGCAAGTTACAGAGGTAATGAACTCACAATTTACAAAGGTAATGAACTCACAATTTACAAAGGTAATGAACTCACAATTTACAAAGGTAATGAACTCACAATTTACAAAGGTAATGAACACCAGGTAGGTCTAGTCACAATCATGACAAGTTACAAAGGTATTTACAGATTACAGAGGTACGTAATGGGTCCAGGGACTGGGCCCCCAAAGTTTTGATAGCTGAACTAGGTACAAAGGTAATGAACTCACAAGCACTAAATCGTAATGACACGAATGCAAACAAACCACGGTACGGGCGGGGATACACCACTGCGCAACAAGTGCCCCATAACGGCGGCCGGTACTGGAGTTTTTACGACTCACGAGCGAGGGATTCAATATGCGCCCATACCGCGTTTCATGGGTGGCACCTGTAAAGCAGTGGGAAGCTCTGTCGGGGTCGATTCCGGCGAGGGTTGAATATGGGAACTGAAATTTGCCTTCCACGGGGTTGTCTATGATTCAACCCATCAGTATAATGGGTTAACCTGGGCGTTAGTCGATTGGTGGTCCATCACTGGGACAAAACTGATCCCAATTTGCCCTAAATGTTCTGCTAACAAGGGGTTCTATAGAGTAGAATGTGAGTGAATGGTTTGAAAAACCGACAGTTGAGATTGAGAACTTATCAGTCCAATATGGGAACATGATCAGGAAACGTTTGCCACACAGTGCTTCATCCAGTCCAATACAATAGATGGAACGTAAGAGCAGGGAGGAAGTATAGAAGTATCATCCCTCAGCCTGGATCGATGTGTTCAGTCAAGATGATGCTGATGTACACATCGCCTGTATACCTTGTACATGTATACTTGTAGAAATAAAGGTAGAAATAAGACCAGCGTCTGGTAACAACTGTCTTGTTTCTTGACAAAACTTACCTAACTTAACAAGTGATGTACAATAAGCTACATACTTTGCCTGCAAAATTAATAGTCAAAGTATCTATCAAATATCAAAGAATCTATTAACCATAAAAAAAATAGGCAAAATAGTGTGAAACTCATTAGGAGGTGTTGAAAGCGGAAACTCGAAGTCACTAGTAACAAGTGCATGAATTAGTCGCATATTCACGAGGAAATCACTAAGCCCGTAAGGATCTGAGAACCTGGGAAGGAAAAAGAATTTTTATTTTAATCATCGTGAAGCGCTGAACCCTTTGGGGTCATACACTACCTTGGGAATGGGCGGCAATCAGGTGCGATCCAAAGGGAGGACAGGTGCGATCCAAAGGGAGGACAGGTGCGATCCAAAGGGAGGACAGGTGCGATCCAAAGGGAGGACAGGTGCAATTCCTTGCAGCAAGAGCTCTTCATCCACATCAAGGCACCCCCCCCCCTTCCTCCATTCCTTTAAGGCGCATATATTTATAGAATTAAATTTCTGGGTAAAAGGTTCTTTAAACAGTAGAAAGAATGCACGCTCTCTCACACTTAAACATTTGAAATACACTATAACCCCACTTAGAAAAGTTTAAGAATACCGTAGGAATCCATCATAAAACTGGATTGGATCACGCCCTGGAGTGCCTGGTTTTCAATGGAGGATCACTGCACTCATCCACTGAAAGGGAACTTCACCTACGGACTCAATATGGTTGAAAACTGTGCAAAACTGAATGTGGAAGTACTTTAATATTGTGGTACGGAAATGTGAAGGCTATCTTTCCTGGCTGCTAATAACTGATTTCCCGACTACGCAGACGATAATTCCAAAAAGTAGATGGCTAGTTGGTAAACGAGGAAAAAGTCACGTGTATAAGATTCTTTATGTATCCCCAAGTGAATACGTTAAAGTGACTGACGGATTTTTCCCCCTCATTTCTTCCTTGAAAGACGCTTCATCCAGTTAGCTTCACAAATTTTCAAAGCTCTTCACTATAGAGAAAGGTTTCTGCAATTACTGGCACGTGCAGGCGCCATCTCGTCAGTTTTACACAGACCTTTCCTGAGTTTGGTCTCCGTGAAATAACTTGAAAAAGCTTCTTATGCTCGACTTCAAACATTCAATACTGGTGTATCCTACTTACAAAAAGGTTGGGATTATTACTAAGTGTAGCCTTGTATCTCTGAGAAAGATTTGCATGGATGTCGGGCTGTAGGTGTCAATAAGCCAGTTTAATTGAAGAAACTGGGAACAACACTTTTCTTGCAATAACTTGTGAGTGCCTCCCCAAATCTTTAATGCCAATAACTTACGAATGCAACTTCTGAGTTGCTTCGAACTTAATTAAGTTAGTCTAATATGTTTATTATGCACCCCATACCCATCCTGTGGGCTGTAGTCAAAAGATTACAGAGGTACATAATGGGTCCAGGGACTGGACCCCAAAGTTTTGATAGCTGAACAAGTTACAAAGGTAATGAACTCACAAATTACAAAGGTAATGAACTCACAAATTACAAAGGTAATGAATCCTGTAAGTAAAGTTACTTACTTACGTTTATACATGGCTACAATCATGAACATATAGTGTAATGAGCAATTCACACGTCCACACCCGGTCACAACTGTAGTGAGTTATTGGTGCAAATATTAATTGTTGGGTCACACACACACACACAACACACACACAAATAGGTGAGTACACACGCAAACGAACATACATACATACATACACACACACACGAATACTACCAGAGAGAGAGGAGAGGATGAACCAGCAAGGTTGGACCTTGTATTCACCATGAGTAGTTCGGACATCGAGGGTATCATGTATGAAAGGCCCCTGGGAGCTAGTGATCATGTGGTTCTGTGCTTCGACTACATAGTTGAGCTCCAAGTGGAGAGAGTAGCAGGAATAGGCTGGGAAAAACCAAACTACAAAAGGGGGAACTACTCAGGCATGAGGAACTTCCTTCAAGACATTCAGTGGGAGAGGGAACTGACAGGAAAACCAGTACAAGAAATGATGGACTATGTAGCAACAAAATGCAAGGAGGCAGAGGAGAGGTTTGTTCCCAAGGGAAACAGAAATAATGGGAAGAACAGAACGAGTCCTTGGTTCACCCAAAGGTGTAGGGAGGCAAAAACTAGGTGTACTAGAGAATGGAAAAGGTACAGAAGACAGAGAACTCAGGAAAATAAAGAATCAGCCGAAGAGCAGAAACGAATATGCACAGATAAGAAGGGAGGCTCAGAGACAATATGAAAATGACATAGCATCAAAAGTAAAGACTGACCCGAAGCTGTTGTACAGCCACATCAAGAGGAAAACAACAGTCAAGGACCAGGTAATCAGACTGAGGAAGGGTGATGGGGAATTCACAAGAAACGACCGAGAGGTATGTCAGGAGCTCAACACAGATTTAAAGAGGTATTTACAGTGGAAACCAGTAGGACTCCAAGAAATCAGAACAGGGGGGCACACCAGCAAGTGCTGGATGAGGTACATATAACCAAGGAGGAGGTGAAGAAGCTGCTATGCGAACTTGACACCTCAAGGCGGTGGGACCAGACAACATCTCTCATGGGTCCTTAAAGAGGGAGCAGAGATATTGGTGAGCCATTAACAAAGATCTTCAACACATCATTTGAAACTGGGCAACTCCCTGAGGTATGGAAAATGGCCAAATGTAGTCCAATTTTTAAAAAAGGGAGACAGACATGAGGCACTAAACTACAGACCTGTATCTCTAACGTGTATAGTATGCAAGGTCATGGAGAAGATCATCAGGAGGAGAGTGGTGGGGCACTGGAAAGAAACAAGTGTATAATTGACAACCAGCACGGTTTCAGGGAAGGAAAATCCTGTGTCACAAACCTACTAGAGTTTTATGACAAGGTGACAGAAGTAAGACAAGAGAGAGAGGGTGGATCGACTGCGTATTTTTGGACTGCAAGAAGGCTTTCGACACAGTTCCTCACAAGAGGTTACTGCAAAAGCTAGAGGACCAGGCACACTTAACAGGAAAGGCACTGCAATGGATCAGAGAATATCTGACAGGGAGGAAACAACGAGTCATGGTACGCGACGAGGTGTCAGAGTGGGCGCCTGTGACAAGCGGGGTTCCACAGGGGTCAGTCCTAGGACCTGTGCTGTTCTTGGTATACGTGAACGACATAAC